GTCACAGTTTTAGAAACATAACAATACAGGAAAACATTATTTTTCGATAATCATCCGCTTTATTGCTTTATTGCAAGTGAAGTTGAACCAGTACGATCATATACAAAAAGTAATTGAATCCACGTCAATTCTGGGGCCTTCGTCTACATCTTTTCTTTTCCTTCTTCTGGATTATCTAAGAACTGTTCTTCGTCCGAAAGTCTTGTCGTAAAGTCGACGATGGAAGTCTTTCCACCGTAACCACAGCTGACTGTGGCGGTGTACGTAGCTCCTGGCTGCAGCCCGTCCAGCGGGTACTCGTATTGAGGCAGCTCGGCTGTCGCCGGAACGCGCCGTGGATCTGGATCCTCCGAGTCCTCGCCAACCTCCTCTTCGTCTGAGAAGAGGCGGCGTGCCACCGCCACCTCGAAGTATGTCAGGTCGGAGTTCAATTTAGATGGCAGCTTCCAGCGGATGAGCGCAGTACGTTCAGTAATATCAACTGCCTGCAGGTCCTGTGGTGGCTCGGACACTGTATGGACATGGAGGTCGTTTCACTGTCAAAGGTCTACGAAGCATAGTTTCTTACGTCAGTGTTTTGTTCAGGATTTTATATTCTTCCCCCGCAATAAATCTAAAAGAATTTTTATTTCCCATAGAATGATGCGTTTTTGTGCACATCTCAAGCAGATGCAAATTTTAATCTAGCAATGGACGAATAAGCGTCCTATTACTAGAACAATTTTTTGTGTCCATCCGACTGATGCACATTTTTGTCTCAAATCAGTTTCAAATATGCAGTCGGTTGAGACGTGCACAAAAAACACACCGTCATTGGGTAGAGTGCATTGGGTGAATTGTCGGGGGCGAACTGGTTATGGGAGAAAATTGTTTTGGGTGAAATGGATTGGGTTAAACGTCCTGCTCCCGCTATGGATGATAAGAGTCCTTTTAGATTAAGTGTGACTTTTGACTTTTAGGAGTCGTGTGCTAGAACACTCACGAAGGGAGAGGTCGGTAGCCCACCCTCTCCTTTATATATTGCATTTTTTTAGGTCTGTAACTGCAACTGTTTTGGAGACATAGCAGAAGGCGTGCAGACGAGACGTGATTTTGATCCGGAATAGGGACATTTCGATTTAATTCGGAACAGGACAAACAAATTTCCCGCCAAACTGTAAAGACACATCTGATAGTCATGACAACCGTTTAGCTCCCATAAAGTCAAAAAACTGTCAAAACGTTCAAAAACCACTCCCAACTTCACCCTCCTCTGTCGGTGAACTGAGGTGGGGTTGTGGTAGGGACCCCATCCAACGCGTTCGGTCCAACCTTCATCTCGAAGGCAGTAAAGTCTTAGGTCGGCCGTGAGAGCGATTGGTAATTTTTCCTTACCCTTCTTGTCGGTCGTGGCCTGCACAGTGGCATGCTCGCCGGGGAGGTCGCCGTGCTCGTTGGTGGCGCTGACCGTGATGAGGTATGTGACGCGTGGACGCAGCCGGCCCACGATGTAGCACACGTGGTCTGGCCACGCGGGGCAGCGCGTCCCTGCAGCCACGCGCTCCGAGCGGTGCTTGGGCTTTGCGCTGCCTGGAGTGACGACGGGCGCCACCTCCACGGTGTACCAGCGGAGCGCCCCACTGGGACGGCCGGGGGGCAGCCAGCGCAGCCACAGCGCCGTGCGGTTCAGGCGGTACACGTCCAGCTCGCGCGGAGGGTCAGGCACTACAGGGATATAAATATACTTACTACACAAAGCCACAAGGACATCAGACAAAAATTTGTACAACTTTTCAGCAGAAGATTGTTGGCTCAGCGATACACTAAAGCACACTGTAAATGTCAAGGGACATTTTTAGACAGTTACTTTGAATGGCACTTGCGCTGTGAAAGGAGGCTCCATGTCGATTCGTCCCCTTACTATCGTCCCCTTACTATCGTCCCCTGAGGCATGGTACCGTATGGTACTCGTTCTCAGTCATTTTGTTAAAGTTTTTTTTTCCGCGCAAGGACAGCTTGTCCCCTATGTCCTACCTTCCCGTCCCGATGCACTAGCGGCATAGTCTGCCACGCCCCACTAAATTACTAAACTTCCTCAAAATTTGAAAGGATGCCTCTCTGCTGCTTTCTTGTACCATTTTGTTTAACTTCACCTCATACCATTGAGTACTTAGCCTGAGTTTAGGGCTGGGTTGCCGGACAAATGCAGGCAGAGTTCCGTTTGAAGCGAGGGGGCAACAACTCCCTTTAGATGTGTACACATGATTCCCGAAATACTTGATTCCCAGCTTCAGAGCAGTACTACTCTGAAGTACTGCTCTGAAGTTCCCAGTGATTCCCAGTGGTTCCCGTCCACTTATATTCATTCCTTAGGTTTTCTGGTGGTAGCAAACGCTTAATTCGACTAATTTGTATCAATTTCATCAGTTTCCCACTTAGTTTACACAACTTCTGTTTATTTCGATTAATTTTTAACCTGATGATTAGGCAGATGTACTCATGATTCTCGGAGTCATTGCCCCCTCGGTTTGAAGCCAATTCGTTGGCACACTGTCACTTAACTTATCAAACCCCCGACTTCATTACCTCGGCGAAGTTCGCAGAAATTAAGTGCGTAACTACTCAACAGTTGTAACTTCGCAAACCCTAGTTAAATACTTGCAAGTGTTTAGCTGGAGAGTTGCACACTTTCAAGTATTTAAGTGACGAGTTAACCACTTGTAAGTATTCGACACCTCAGTTTCGCACAAACACTCTCCAGAGTCATCCAGGTTCAAAACCTTATTCAGATTTCTATAATTTTCTAAGAGTGTATTTCAAAACCAACTTCCAAATAATTCCGTCAAGAAAGCTCGTTTAAGACATCTATGAAAACTGAAATCTTCCTTGGTAGATACAGTTTGTTTCGGAGCTCAGAAATGAGGGATAAGCCTAGTAAGAAGAAGAAAAGAAGATGGTGGCGTAGCGTAGCGCGAACCCATAAGAAAGCAGAAAGCTGCATCGTGGAATTGCGTTTATATTCAAAGTAGTGTATTTCAAATCAGTTTTTAATGTCTACTAGCTTACAACCAGCAGAAATATATCCGACAACAGCTCCAAAACCTCTATTTAGAAGGGGTTCGTGACCAGGTTATGTCACTTTGTTATGGGTCCGCGCTACGCTACGCCGCCATCTTCTTTTCTTCTTCTTACTAGGCTCATCCCTCAGAGACCCAAAGCATTAGAAACAACTCAAAACCCCTCATAACTCGCTCAAAACATCAACATTCGGCCTTTTCGGGTCTATTCCTGGGCTCTCCTCCCACCCATTATTACTTCATTGCACAGTTCTGGATAAAATATTTTTTTTGATGCGGGCTAGTACCAGTGTGGTGTGTCGTGAAGTTGATGGCGGCGACAGCAATTCCGGCATTGCTGCCGGCTGGGTTGTACTGGATCACACTGAACTTGTAGTCTGTCAATGGCTGTAGCTCCATGATCGCAACAGTGGTACGGGACGTGTTTGTCGCCCGTGATGCATCGCAGCCACTGTAAAGTCATACGCCTTTTACTCAATATGAATGGGCAGGGGCAATTTTACACCGGCTAATTTGAGTCCATTTAACATCTTAATAAAATACAAATTCTTCACAAGATTCCAAACAAACCTAGGTTTATATGCATGATCAAGGCACTAGAGATGAGCGAACAAACCAGTTGGAAGTTAAACGAACTGGCAAACTCGAAAAAATTGGTCTGAAAATCTTCGAACAAACACGAACAACATTTTTTTTAGTCGAACGAACCGAACTCAAAAATGTTAAGGTTATGCTCCAATTTGGTCCGAACACGAACCATTATTACTTGTTTTGATTAAGAGATATAAAGGCTTTCCATGCTACAATAGTTCCATTAACGTCTAAAATTTTAGTTTTCTATCAACCTGCCACGGCCCCCTTAATCACATCTCATTGGCTGAGCGATAGCGAAGCCTATTACTCCAGTGATGATCAAAAAGTTTCGTGTCTGTGTGTTTGTCTGTCTGTCTGTCTGTACGCACGATAACTCGAGAACGGTTTGAGCTAGGAACCTGAAATTTTTAGTGTAGCTTTGTATCATGAAAAGCAAGAACTGTATTGATTTTGAGCCCTCTAGCTTAAAAATTGGCCTGTCAAAAAAATCAAAAACAAAAAACCCAAAATATTAATTTTAATTTTATATTTTTTTACATCTTTCTTAGACGTAACTCGTCAAAGTAGAACCCTACGGGCCAAAATTTTGTCCGTTTTGCTCTATCTCTAACCGTTAAGTCGCCAGAGGGCGATTTCCACACGAAAATGACCCCAAACCATTTTAATGTTGTTTCTCAGATATTTGATGGTCTGGTGGGGCAACTCGTCAAAATAAAATTCTGGGGGTAAAAGTTGTGTCCTTTAGAGCCGAAGGCCTATCTACGACTCTGCCTTTTGCCCGACTCGGGTGTCAGCAGCGCCGCAGGCCTAGGTAGATGTATGCCAGGCGCGTCGCAGCGTAACAGTGTTTCGTGAGATATCGCGAAGCCTGTTACGCGAGACGTGGTCTGGCGTACATCTACCTAGTATATATGGCGTCTTTTTGAATCATTCTTTAATTCTGTTAGTTCGCCTACGAACTCTGTTCGCCTACGAACTCTGTTCGTAGTACTCGAACATTTCGAAACCAGCCCATCTCATGTTCGTGTTCGAGCGATCACGAACCGCTCGATGTTCCTTCGAGCCCGAACATGTTCGCCCATCTCTAAGCCCAGAAAACAAGGTCCTCGAGTCAAGTAAATATCTTTGGAACAAGTCAATTTCCTAGCACAGGTCTAGGAATTTGATTTGTTCCAAGGATATTTACTTGATTTAAGAATCTCATGTTCTGGGTGTGTTACAAATTGTTTTTCTTTGCAAAGAATGTTGTTGAAGCGAAGAAGCGAAGAAGAACAAGTGTACACGGAAAAAAAGTAACGTGGCTTGTGGTGGGAGAACGAAACCTTGCTTCTCAGAAGGAACGCGATCGTTTTCCCAACAACAACTTCGTTCTCTCGACTAAATGTTGGTTTCTGGAACTAAAACCAGTTTTCCGGTAATCAACTAACACATCGTTGGGAGAACTTACTCTCTTTTTCCGAGTAACCGCTATCCTAGTAGAATATTTTAAATGAAAAAGCTGATGACTTAGAAGAGCAGGCATATAAGTGTCGCGCAGAATTGACAAACCTTTCCTTGCTTCCTGTGCTCTCAAAGCAGTAACCGTAGTGCGAGATAGGCCCATGAGTCATTTCACACTGTGTATCTGGTTCCCACGTAAAGAGAGCTGAGCTGTTGGTCCGGGCAGCAAAGCGAAGGGAAGACACTTTTCCTTGCGGCACTGTAAAAAACAGAAGGCAAATAATCGGTCTATGTTGTCTTCAGGATGTCTATATTTTGACTCCTTGTTGTCTGTATAATGTCTCCAGGGTGTCTCTATAGTGTCTGTGTCTCCTGTTTGTCTCTATAGTGTCTCCTTGATGCCTTCACAAAGTCTACTCGCAGTCTCTGCGTTGTCTCCGGGCAGTCCCTATAAGGCTGGAGTTCGCCGAGATGTGCACATATCCAGGACAGATTTTGAGTTTATTTTTGCTCTTGATTTGAGCGGATCTTTTCATACTGCGTCAATCGTGGGTCAAAGAATCAAAGCCGCGTACTGGCCAAGCTTAGTGATTAGCCATTATTTAACAAATTACGTTTTAACGGGAGTAGATAAACGTCGACGGGAGTTACAAAAAAGATGGCAAATCGTCGACGGGAGTTACACAGGAGTCGATGGGAGTTACATGAACCATGACGCATCGTCGACGGGAGATACCGAGCGGATCCCGTGACAAGTCGACGGGAGTTACAGAGGTTATGTTCTCGGCTGCAGGCCGGCTGAGGCTGACTTATCATGACGTGAGTGACGACTTTTATTTTCGTCACAATAACAATGGTTTTAACTAAGTTGTAAGCAACGAGGATATCTGAGTGCAGGTAAGGACATTAATAGAACGATTAATTCAAACGTGTGGCATGACGATGATGGAGAGCGGCACGAAACGGCCAGGCAACTTTCATAATTCTCAAAAAGCACTTATTATGTTGATAAAGAATAATTCTCTGGGTGATTTAAATTCGTTGTACTCCCTGCTTTGATTTCACGAGAGAAGCAAACATAAAAATGTCCCGCACGTTTTTCTAGTCGCATTTCCAGTTGTCGCCAGCAGAGGAGGGGCCTGGTTTTGTGTTTCCAAGACACGGCTTTGAAGTCAATTTAAACATATTTCTCGTCAAGTTCTAGTATTGACAGGGATTGGATGTAATTTATCATTCCTTTCAAATTTTCTGGTAGAGAGGTTAGAGTTTGCTTTCAAAAAGACTCCGAGTAAAACGAAAATAAACAACCTACGGTAGGGTTATGGACACTGCGAATCGGCTGTTTCACGCCAGTTTTAATTGGTTTTATAATTGAAATAAGTGTTTCAGCCTTACCTGATAAGTAAAACTAAGTGATATAAAATAACAATGTAGTACGCTGGCACCTTGCAACGTTAATTTTAAGAAATATGGAGAAGAACACACAATGTTCACATCTCGGTGAAATCACCCATAACGAACGTCTCTCAAGAGTCTGCTCGGTGTCCGCATGCTCGCTTTAGGATATCTATTTTTGGCCTTAAAAGATCCTTCCTAGAACCACTTTAAGTGTCTCTGAGTTGCCCCAGCATAGGCCTAGACGTGGTCTGGCGATGTCTCTGAAAGAGACATCCTAAAGGCAATTTTTCTTGTACGGGTTCACTTTTCCAACAGACCATTCCACTGAGGAAAGAAAGAAAAGAAACAAAAAGCACCGGAAGCAGTTTTGATAAACAGATAAAATTGGTTGACATTTTCTAGTTGGCTGAGCAATTAGCAAAGCCTATTACTCCAGTGACGATCTCCGGGCCCGTTTTCAGCAGCTTCTGTGAGAAACGATTAGGTCGGAAATTTCTTTTTTCACGAGAAAGGGGTTTACCAACTAGGTGATTGCCTGCTCTCAATTGGAAAAAGTCGCTACAATCAAATTGCGTCGGCAATGGAGGGCCAAAAGTAGGGAAGGAGGAGGCGTTCCTTTACACTGTTTTTAGCCCGCCCTTCTGCTTTTAAAAAAGCATTAAAGCGGGCTTATGCAACCGCTCTCGTGTCTGTCTGTCCGTCTGTCGTCCGTGTAAGAGGAAGGAGATGAGCTAGAGGTCTACAAATTTCAGGGTATCTTAGGGGTCACTCCTGGACAACGAAACGCCTGGTGCAAATCCTGGCAACCACCCC